ATATAATAATCTTATATAGATTATTTTAGGTGGTGACTACCAAATAGAAACACACATATATTTTCAATACATTGAACATGATCGCAATAGAAATTCAATTTTTTTAGTAGTTTTGTGTAAATAATAAAATTATGTAAATGATGAACATATATGAATTAACCTTATTTCTAACTGGTTAAGACCTATACTTATAATATTATGTCTTTTGCCTAGTCAATGGGTGAGATCAATTGGCGATTGATCAAGAACACAACACTTTGGATACAGTCATCGATCTCTTGAGGTAAATGGTTGAAACATGGTAAGTTGTACAGTCTCACGTTACTTAAAAAAAATCATAAGTAATAGTTGTCAATCTCTTAAGACAAAGAGGTTAATATATGATAAGTTGTGACCTTACACCTCTCGTGGCATGCCATGAATGACGGTTTATAAGGTCCAATGGACGAGGCCTTTAGGTGTGAAGGCCCAATGGTATGAGGCCTTAGGTGTGAAGGCTCAAAGCAAAAGAGAAAATGGTTAAATTTACTCTTAAAGTGTATGCATATAGATTTTTATCATTTACTCTTGATTAATATTATTTTGACTAATATAGTATTTGACTAAAAGGATATTAATTAAGGATAAGAGGTAAAAATCTAGACTCATACACTCTAAGAGGTATTTGTCTCATTTTCCTAAAGCAAAACTGTGACGCATACACTTTAAAGAGTATTTGTCTCATTTCCCTAAAGTAAAACCGTGCAGCTCAAACTCAAAGTGGACAATATCACCAAATGAAAGTGCGAGTTGTTACAGATGGTATTAGAGCTATAACCTAACCAGAAGTGTGACTAACGAAGACGTTAGGCCTCAAAAGATAGAGTGATTGTGACAGTCATCAATCCCTTTAAGTAAAAGAGCTAAAACTGGATAAACTGTGCAGTCTCACATCATCTGGGTAAGATTATAAGTGATGGTTTAGAATCAAAGACTAATGGTTCGAGGAATTTTGGAGTGAAACTCAAAAATAAAAGTGCGTGGACTCAGGCCTACGACAGACATCAATCTACAACTTTGTGAAGAAAAGAATAATATTCTCGTTAGTATTAGGACTTTGGGTAAATGAGATCTCAAATTTATTTGATATAATAGATTTGAATAAACCAGACTTATTAAATATAACATCCATAATACAATATAAACTATACAAGTGGCGAATCCATTATAGAGCCCCGCAAGGATTAGGCAAAATTTTAAGTAGTGTAGGATCCAGTTAGACTCTTTAACACTTTGAGTAATCCCTCAATGATACATAGTAGCGGTAGATCATTATTTTGCCTCCATTAGTGTTTGAAAATTATAGCCAAGAAGAATCATAAGGAGAATTGGCCATCACATCCTCGAAGCGTTCAAAAAATCCAAGAAAGCACAGCAATATTCACACAGTAGTTAATTCAAGAAAAGGAGAATATTAGGAAAGACTGAAAAGTTGGTATTGGTTTGGTTATTTTAGAATTATTTGTCATAATTATTTTATATAGCATTATGAGATAGATTCTTCTACGTTTTTATAACGGGTTGTTCATGGATTGGGTTAGTGCGAAGTAGAACTTTTTCTTCCCTGTCTTAAAGGGTGCAGGTTGCACATATTTAGCCCCAATGATGTTACAAAAATTTCACAACCCAATGGTGTTTGGGTTGGGTTGGGGTGGTGCGGGGTAGGTTGGGTGGTCGGTTTCAACATTCAAATAATCAAAGACTCAAGTTCAATCTAACATAAAGTTCATCATCAAATAGAAATAATAACTCCAGCATTTAAACAGATAGAAATTCAAAGTTCAATCTAATATCAAACATGAAGCAAAGTAGATCATCCAACATCAAATATAAAGCAAACATAAATTAGTCTACACTCATAAATTAGTCTTAACATAAAGCAAACATAAAGACTTAATTCAAACATGAAGAAACTAGAGAATAAAAATGAGTTGTCTGCTTAGGATTAAATATTAGAGGAGACAAGTTAGAGCACGGGTTGGGTTGGGGTGTGCGAGCCATTATAGGCCTAACCCATACCCCGCCTTAAAACTTCGGGGCAGACATTGAATGGACCGAAAAAAAATTTAATACTAGAAATTACATTTTTCAGATTGGATTAGAGTGGGGTAGGTTGGGCCTGCGGGTTTTGCGGGTTTATGAACCTTCCTAACCAATACATAATTCAAATTGGATTGGATTAGATCAGTCATCTAATTATATTGGCTAATTTATTCACCTCTTAAACAAATTTCTATTTGGATTAATTTTTTTTTTGCACAAAAAATAATTATTTTAAAAATAACACTAGTTTTGACTATTTTCTTTTATACTATTCCCACATAGTATTTACCTCAAGTAGTAACTAGAGTTATTGTAAGTACATATAGTTTGCAATATTATGATTGTTGGTAATCACTATAATTATTAGAAGGATTTAACATGGCACTGACATCAATGAAAATAATCAAAAGCAATGTTGTCCTTAAAATATTTTTTTAGGCCCCGTTCACTTCACTAATTCGAGTTTAGAGTTCGAGTTTTGCTACAGTAAAAAGCTCTCACAAACAATCACATCTAACTTTTTTGCTACAGTAAAAAGCTCTCACATAAAATCACATCTCTACTCGAATCAGGGAAGTGAACGGACCATTAGTGTTAATATTAACCCTTTATTTTTCCTTGCATGAGGTCCTCAAATCACCAATTAAAGCACTCCACACCAAACCTTTTCCAACCGATATTGTGTGGTTGTTCTCCAAGAACTCCAACTTCCATGCCTGATTTTGGAGCTTGACCTAATTTTAACCTTTGAGCCCTAAGATTTTCACTCTTTGCTCGGGCCCTCTGATTTTTCCCTCTTTGTTTAGTCTCTTCACCATCAAATCTCTAGGGAGTTTGCTTCCAAAATTAGATTAGTTGGCGCCAAGGCTATTAACTATGCCCTTAATTTCCCCCGCATGTCAATCACATTCAATTTTCTGTTGAAACTTTGATAATTTATGGCCGGAGGAACTAACGTGGACAAACAAATTTATTAGGTCAGGAATGCGTATCGTGATATTTAGAAAAAGACACATCAGATACCAAGATTTTTATATCTTTTCTTTCCTTCGGTTGTTTTACTTTTAAATTTGGGGACTTTTATGTTTTAGGATTGTAAGATCTTTTTCTTTTTTCTTTTTTATTTTTTGCATACTCAAAAGAAGAAAAAAAAAAAAGGAGAGATGCCAAGATGGGATTAGACCTATTATTCGAGAACTAAAAATGAAATGGATAATATAGTAAATAGTAGATTTATGGAAGTAAATTAAATAAATAAATAATTTTAAAATTATTTAAAATAAATAGCAATTTATAGTGTAAATGTTTCATTTACGAACGTAAATTTTTTTTTACGATTGATAATAATTTTTTTTCACGTAAATCAAAATTTTAAATTATTGGTTTCATTTAGACTTTTTCGATCCTGTTTCAATGAGAAAATATAAACATACTAGTAATCACCATTAGTTTTTTAAACGATATTAATATGTAAGATTATGTGACCTATCTGATATATAAAATAATATTTTAGAAATATAAGAAAAGATACATGGATGTAATTAAACTTGATAATTCTAATTTCGTAAAAAGTTAAATATTTTTTTAAGAAATAAAAATCATATTACTCTTTATCTTTTTCATTTTCTTAATATGATTCTTACGGATAACAAACATCCCCACATGCATGGAGGCCACATGTATTTATATTTTATATTGCTTGTGGCGACCAAATGGAACACGCTCTTGTCTCTCTGTAATCCTAATTGACACATAAAAAAGACTCAAATATAGCTGGCCACGTTGCAAAATTACACTAGTGGTCCATTTTCAAACATATCGCATACACGAAAGTCCACATGAGACTCCAAAATATCATGTTCCTCTTTCCACTTAGATTTACATACAGTGCCAAGCCAAATCGACTATTTTTTTAAAAAAAATTTCCTGCTTATTAATTTTATTGGTGACATCTCCAAAATAAGCTCAGTTTTTTTTTTTTTTTTGCTTGAACAAATAAGCTGAATTTCATTTGAAATTTCCGAAACTATGCTAATTGCATATATTTAAATCCAAGTAAAATATCATTTATCACTTTATTTTATTCAGAAGATGGAATCACAACTCAATTCAATTTTGTTGTCAAGAAGTAAGATGTAAGGTGGCGTGCCAATAGGTTAAGTTTTTCTAACCGTTAGATTTGCGTATTTTTTTACTTTTACGTGATTTTATGCAGATCCGACAAACGTAAAACCTAATCTATTAGTATATTAGTGTATCAAAAAAGTCACCTACTAGTATATTGTACTTTTTTGAAGGTCACATTAGATAATACAACCTAATCTACTATAATTTTTCTTATAAAAAATTTTTAATAGCTAAACACGTTTATTTTTATTCAATACAATGCAAGACTCAAATCCCACTCCATCTTATCTCATATTGACGGATCTAATTGTCATGCACAAAAAAAGTTCCGTCTTGATGGTCATAGGCTGCTAAAACAGAGTTCACCATTGATTTTTCTTTCTTTTTTTTTTTAATTCGTAATCTTTTTTGAGATGTTTATTTTAAGAGTTCGTCTCTAGTTTTAAATTATAGTTTTTAATTTTTTACAGTATTTTTTTCTCACTAAAAATTTAAATTTTAAAAATTAAAATCATAAATCATGATTCTAAATTTATGAACCAAAACGTCTCATTCAAGAATTCATCAAAAATAATAACTACAATATTTCACAAGAAAATATCCTCCAAACTAGAGAAAAAGAAAACAAAAATGTCCCGACCAACCATCAAGAAGAGTCTGCCAAGGCAAGTAAGACCGCATCCAATCAAATAATAGGCAGACTAATTATCAAAAAAAAAAAAAAAAAAGATGGAATAGTGAAGTAATTCCTTGTCACCAATTTTAAGTGCCATGGAGGCCCAAAAAGAACCAAAGCGACCTTGTGGTGCTGGTTGAAGATCCCATTTTCTGGTCTTTTGTCCTAAACAAAAACATAGTTGTCAAACGTTCATTTACAATCGATAGTACTGTTTTCTTCCTTTTCTTTTGATTGCTTGACGAGTTTATATAGTTGGAAACTCCGACAAGCTGCTACTACTCTAGTTCTGTTACGTTATTATTTTATGTTTTTTGCACGTTATAAATTTCTTTATTAGTTATCATTGCACATATATTTTACTATATTTGACTTCTCAAAGCTTCACCAGTCCCCTCAGAATGAACATCATTTGATACCGAACCTTTTGGAAGCTTCAATCTTGCATCTTTCTGACCAAGTGAGTATTTTGATGCATGTTTTCATCTGGGTTCTGATTAATTTCCTTAAAAAAGTAAGTGTTTTTGTGTGTGTGTGTGTGGAAGTTGTATCATTTCTTCCGAAGCACAGAAGGGAAAAACATGGGATTTCAGTATTTCCTTTCTGTTTTTGGATTCCTTTTATAGTACTGAACTTTGTTTGTTCAAAGTTTCTAATGGTTTCTAAAGCTCAGGAATGGTTTGAATTTAGTTTATACTTATTTGTGTGTATATAAGCCTCTTTGGGTGATCATTACAGTAATTTGATGTGGGTTCGTCCTTGTATTCATGTATCTTTTAATCTTCATCTTTCCATTAGAATACCTCTTTGCGCATATATAAGCATCTAAAAGTGTAAGTCCAAATTCAGCGTTGACCATCATTGAATATCAATATGCGGGAAAGTAACAATTTCTCATCTAATTTTTGGATTGATTTACTATAAGTAATACCATTATGTATAATGCTTCAACTTTTCTGCTAATTTCAAGTTTTTCTTGTTGAAGTGATCTTATGTGCTTATTAACAAGTTTATTTATGTGACTTTCTAAATTTACTATTAAATTTGGAATTTTCCTTGTTACTTTCAGTAAGGTTACAACTTCTCCAACCATTTTGCTCTGCAGGAGTCTGAATATTAATAGATGGCAGCAGTACTGGCTTCAAGCAGTTGCTGTTGCCATAGTATGGAGTTGGTAAATCAAGAGAATCTCAGTTTCTCAGGCGCAATTTCAGTTTCAAAGTTTCCAAACTCTGTAAAACCAAGATATAACTATCCACCTCGTGCCGACGAAAGTATTCGGTTTCGGGTGAAAATGCAGCAGGCAGAACCGCCGTCGAAGTTGGGTGTCAATGGAAGAGCTGTAAAGATGGTACCAGCAAGTGAGGTAGTGAAAAGGAGAACCCAATCTAAAGAAAAAGTGGAGAAAGTGAATGGCTTCCCAAAAAAAGTAGAGAAAGTGAATGGTTTCACAAACAAAGTAGAGAAAGTGAAAGTGAATGGTTCAGTTGTTAATGGAGTTAGTTTAGTTAAAAGCAGTCCTGCATCGTCATCAATTGTTAAGACGCCAAAGGTTCGAGTCTCTAAAGAACTTCCGCCATTGGAGGAGCTAAAGGTTTTGCCCACAGATGAAGGCTTCAGTTGGGCCAATGAGAACTATAACTCCTTGCAAAGGAGTATAGATGTTTGGTCTTTTGTTATCTCATTCCGTATTCGTATCCTATTCGACAATGCGAAATGGGCCTATTTGGGTGGCTTCACAGAAGATAAGCAGGTGGGTCTTGGGGTTAATTTGTGCAAGTTATCATCTTCTGGATGCTAACTCATATTCACCACTTTTATGTAGTTTGCGTTCTAGGCCAAGTCCCCCCCAATCAGTTTCTTGCTTTTGCGTCAACTTGTTTCTTTTCCTCTGCCTTAAGTTTTTGTCGGGAAATTTCTCATTCAGAAAAATAGAAGGCGGAAGACCGCTTCATGGCTTCGAGAACGTGTGCTGCAGCTTGGCCCGACATTTATCAAACTTGGACAGTTATCTTCAACAAGGTCAGACCTGTTTCCCCGTCAGTTTGTGGATGAGCTTGCCAAGTTGCAGGTAATTTTATTGTTTCGACGAAGAATTTTTGAGTTTTGACAATATTTTGTTCAGAAACTGAAGACTTTAAAGTAGTTTAGTTTAAGATATGGTTTCTTGATATTTATCGTTAGCATTCTTGATATTTCAGCTGACTGAAGATTTACTCATGAATTCTATATGATTCTCATTTGATGTGACCAGGATAGAGTCCCAGCCTTCTCGCCAGATAAAGCAAGACGCTTTATTGAGAGTGAACTTGGAGCTCCTATCAACATATTGTTTAAGGAATTCGAGGAACAGCCGATTGCTGCTGCGAGTCTTGGTCAGGTGTTCAACTGAAGTCTTACTTTCATTTAAATATGTGTGTATAAATGATTAACTTTCAGCACTTGGAAAATGCATATTTATTTTGTCTGATTCATTAAGTCGTGAATAATGTATCTCTGAGTCACATACAGTTTTTCCTTTCCGAAATTAGCTTCTCTAAATACGGCAGTTACTGAATTTTTTACTTAAGATAGCTTTTTCCCTTGGTTTGAATAATGAGGATTTCAGGTTCATCGGGCTATCCTGCATAATGGAGAGAAAGTAGTTGTAAAAGTCCAAAGACCAGGCCTCAAGAAGCTTTTCGACATTGATCTACGTAAGCGACGCACTTTTCGTCGTTTTCTGCTAGATGGATATTGTACTTGATTGATGTAGTCACAAGTTTGCTTTTTCTGCTCATGGTTACTGATTGCTGGTTTTTAATATTTCTCACTAGTCTTTGTTATGTTTGGTGCATAGGCCATAGTTATATTCATTCTGGATAGAGCAGTATCGAATTGTATGCTATTGATGGGAAAAAGAAATTCTAAATTTGTACAGTGTCATTCACATAATTAGCACTCATATAAGGAAGAGACTTGAGTCATTTGTAGTAAGTTTCACAAGCCAAGAAGGATTACTGGTAACCTACTTTTAAAGATGCATACTCATACCTTCGACTTTGAAGAAGATTGTGGATTCAGATCACAAAAATAAGAAAATGAATTATGAAAAACTAAAGTTATATTGTATATGATATTCTTTTTACCTTTTCCAAATAGATTTCTGAGGTTCCTTGTCGAAACACGGTAATTTTAGCTGCTACTTCACTCCTTATGCTTCTTCTATGTAGGAAATTTGAAGCTAATTGCAGAGTACTTTCAGAGAAGTGAAACTTTTGGGGGTCCAACCAGAGACTGGATTGGTATATATGAAGAATGTTCAACGTATGTTATCTTATCTCTGAATGATAACCAGTTTGTATAAAATTCCATCTGAGACATTGATGAATGAAACATGTTAGCACTTTGAGAATTTAAGCTTCACAAACTATATCTTGTAAAACTTGAGTGTTCTCCTCATCTTTTCAATGACTATACTTGCATTTCATTGACTGCAGGATTTTGTATCAAGAAATCGACTATATAAACGAAGGGAAAAATGCTGATCGGTTTCGCCGAGATTTTCGGAATATAAAGTGGGTCCGAGTACCTGTATGTGCAACTATTAGAGAACTAAACTATGATCTTGGTTTCCTCCCCCCTATGTGCAACTATTAGGGACAAATGATAACCTAAAAAGTTTTTGTCATGTTGGGGAAAAGAAAATGGTAATAGTTGAACTGGCTTGCTGAATTTTGTTTTAACAAATTATGTTCCTCTTTGTAGTTGGTGTTTTGGGATTACACTGCCACAAAGGTGCTGACCTTGGAATATGTACCAGGTTTCACCCCATACTAAAATGCTGACCTTGTATTTTGTATCACTATCAGAAAATTGTTTCCTAGTATGACTTTAACAATCAACTTTATGTTGGTAATTAACATTCCTTTACTGTGGTGGCAGGAATTAAGATAAATGAACTGAATATGCTCGATTCGCGGGGTTATAGTCGATCTAGAATTTCATCACGCGCTATCGAAGCATACTTGATTCAGGTCAGAGAATCTCTGAGTTGACATTCTTGACATTGAATATGAACCTTTTGTCTGCCTCTTTATGTGAGTGAAAGCAATAATTAGTTAATAGAAACATGTGATTGATTTACTGATTTTTCTTCCCCTATTCATTCAGATACTAAAAACAGGTTTCTTCCATGCTGATCCTCATCCCGGAAATCTTGCGATTGATGTGGATGAAACAATTATCTACTATGATTTCGGTATGATGGGCGAGATCAAGACTTTCACCAGAGAGCGGTTACTTGACCTTTTCTATTCTATTTATGAGAAAGATGCAAAGAAGGTCTTCTTTTCATCTTTTAATCTTGTTCTACATTGTCCTCATCCCATGTTATTTTGAAATTTTTGTAGCAATTTCAATGAGAAACGACTAGTATATATATATTACCAAGATGAGGCATTTTAGAGGCAACAATATTATAAATAGCTTATAAATGACAACATATTTTCTCAATTTCACTGCTGCTTCCAAACTACAAGATATGTAGGGCCAATTTGTGATCTCTTTGGAGTTTCAAAAAGTTCGTTGCACAGAAATCGATGCAAAGTAGTGTTTTTAATAAAGCGTAAATATACTCTGCACATACACTACTACTTTTTAGTTATTTTGAGTAGGTTTTTTTCAGCATTTGGCATAGGCTTCTGCTTCTAGTTGTGCTTCTTTTCAAAGCACAACGATCCCAAACTTAGCCTGAATGTTGTATCTAATATTTTTACTTTCCAAAGTGTTTGAAATTGACTTTGGACGTGCTTCTGTCAATTCAACAACTTGCATTATCATAATTATGCAACTAATGATTAAAACAACTGATCTTTGTCGATTTTACTCCGGATTGAACTTACCTGAGAAACTGATCCTTGTAGGTCATGAGAAGTCTCATAGATCTCGGAGCATTACAGCCAACAGGAGATATGTCATCGGTATGCTTTGCGCTGCTTCTTTTCAACACTTTCTGAAAGAAAGCAACATTTTTTCATTCTAATATTCATGAATGGTTTTGGAGATAATTTTGTTCGGTTCATTGTCCGAGTTATTTTTTATCCTATTTTAGGTAAGAAGATCTGTGCAGTTCTTTTTGGATAACTTGTTGAGCCAGACACCGGATCAGCAACAGACTTTGGCTGCGATTGGCGAGGCACGTAAAATTTGGTGACATATTAAGCAATTATTTGAAGGGGCTTATAAACAACTAGTTTAACCCCATTTTTTCACTGTAAAATAACCTTTTTCTATATTGCAGGATTTATTTGCAATAGCACAAGATCAACCGTTTCGGTTTCCATCTACATTTACTTTCGTCATCAGGGCATTTTCAACTCTAGAAGGTTCTGTCTCTCTAAGCACGCATCCATGCTAATTCTTCACAAAACGCCACTTCAATTTTTCAAAAAAAAAAAAAAAAAAAAAAAAAAAAAAAAAAAAAAAACCTTGAGTTTCTTGTGATAATATTTCTTTAAATTAGCTGTGATAAATTATTTTAGTTTTGTTTACCATTTCAGGCATAGGCTACATCCTTGATCCAGATTTTTCCTTTGTGAAGATTGCTGCACCATATGCTCAGGTTCCTTCTTTTTTTTTTTTTTTTTTTTGTAAACTATTATAAACTTAAAAAAAAAAATTTTTTTTTTAAAAAATTAAAAAAAAAAATTTTCCTTTTAAAAAAAAAAAAAAAAAAAAAAAAAAAAAACACAAGATTTCCTAGCAACTTGTGTATCTGTCAAGTATGTCTCTGATATCATTCACTATAAACAGGAGCTTCTAGATTTAAAACAGAAGCAGCGGACTGGGACACAACTTGTGCAAGAAATAAGGAAACAAGCCGATGATGTATGTCATAGTCTTTCCTTTTATTTAGTTTCTTATTGTTTTTTCAAAGTAAATGTCTAAATGACAATGCTCCATTAAATAGAAAGCATTTAGTCAAACAAATTCATCCAATCTATCTTTTTATCATCTCGGGAAAAGTAAAAAGAACAAGAACAGAGTCTATTACTTTTTGTGCTAACTCATTCACCTTTATACTCTCAGGCTAGAACCTACACCATGTCCATGCCATACAGAGTTCAGAGAATAGAAGAGTTTGTGAACCAACTGGAGGCTGGAGATTTAAAACTTCGAGTGCGAGTGCTTGAGGTACTTGCGTCGTTAATTCAAAGATAGGGCTCGAAATTTTTACTGTTTAGCAAAGTGCACTTTGAACTTTAAATTTCGAAAAATTACTCCTGAATTTAATGAAGTGTTACAAAGTGTCCCTAAATCAAAGCCGAGTAAATATGGAAGGTTCCATGACATGCTCCTTCGTCATCCAAAATTCCAGTATTTTCCCTCCAAACAAGCTTGTGGCCTGCACGGGGGAGTTTCGGTTCGTCCAAATTTTAACAGCTGTCACTGATTAGGAGATACTCTATAACACTTTATTGAATTTAAGGGGTAATTTGTCAAAATAAAAAATATCCCTCCAATGATTAGATCAAAAGTTCTGTTGACATTATCTTTCAGCAAACAAACGCTTTTGCATAGTTACTTCCTTGGCCAGCAAGGAGTCGATGACACCTGCATCAACGGCCAAGTGCTTTCCATGAATAATTCGCCGAAAAAGAAAAATAACTTCTTGTTCTTTTGTTATAACGTTACTTATGAAAAGATCAACACAATACCTTCATTTGGCAGTCTGAAAGAGCGGCTCGAAAAGCGACGATACTACAGATGGCGACAATGTATACAGTCATTGGTGGTACCTTGCTAAACCTTGGGGTCACTTTCAGCAGCCAAGGCAGCCAAGTTGTTGCAAATGGATCATTCGTTGGGGCAGGTGACATGTTAATCCTAGAGATTTTCACATAAAGATAGCCTTCAATTTTTATGCTTTGGATTCAAGTTCTAATCATCAATGTTTTTGTTCTTGCGCAGGAGTCTTTTTGGCATTGTTTGCTAGGTCTATGCAAAGGGTGAAGAAACTTGATAAATTTGAGAAGATGATATGATCTCTCACTATACAAGTCAAATAATCCATTTTGTTGAAAGCCTTAATAAAAGAAATATATATTCTAATTCTTTTACTTGCATATAATACACGTCTGCGTTTCATACAGAACACCTAAGAGGAAATACTTTCTACTGTTGGACACAAAAGAGAACATTTTTTCTGTTTCACACAAATAGTAATAATAACAAGAAAGGTCTTCTGGGGGAGCTGTTTTATTCTGGCATTAATGTTCATGTGTTAACGTAACTGGTACCACTAATAATACGTGAGTCATATATATTTGTAAGATTAACATGAGTAGTGGAGTCATACCATTATCTTTTTTCTTGTTAAAGAGAGAGAGCATCTCCAACACCTTAAACCTGTCGCAAAGCAATTGATAACAAAGTTCTAGTATCACAAGGTTAGGGAAAAAAAACAAAAAAAAAAAAAGAGAAAAAAAAGAATTCCATTCTCAAGATAGGGAACTGCAGTACTATCATCATTTGCTAAACAAAAGTAGCCAGAAACATTAGAGAGTTTATTTTAGCCCAAAAAAACAGAAATTGCAGTTTGAGAAGGAACACAAGAGCTTTATCTTATTCATGCAGATCTCAACAATATGATTACAGAAGAAACTTAAACAGATTGGACTACATTGAACAAATGGAATAAACTGCTTTAAGAAACAACACCAATTCCCAAAGTCACAAGAAACTGGTCAACATATGAATTGAGACCATAGTAGAATGAAAGGGTCCTTAGCACCCTTTCCTACATTATGGCCTGTTTGAGAGAAATTCTTAAAAGCTGTTTCTAGAAGTGTTTGGATGATTTATTAGAAATGTTTTGGCTTTTCAGATGAGCTTCAAGTCAACGCCACAAAATAAGGCTTCTAAATAGACTAGAGTTTTATTAAGGCATTATAAACTCCATTCCAATACTTTTATTGCTTATTAGAAAATTTAAAAACTATTTTGACCCATTAAGCCATTTATTCCAAACACTTACTAAAAGGCCACAATTTTTACTTCTCTTCTTCTACTGACTAAAAGCAACAAAAACTCTACCAAACGGGCCCTACATATAATCCAAAATAATAAATAAACAGGAAAGTATATAGTGGAGAAGCGATTTTAACTTATTTGTACAGCATTCTTTGTCCGATGGAAGTCATAGCGTTGGCTCAGCTCCTACAAGTATGATAGGAAGTTTTCGTTCAGGAAATCAACATCTTTTTAGTGATGATCACCACAAGACTGTATGCGGTCAAGTTACTGGTTGTTTAAGTACAAATAGCTTGGTTTTGCAGAGGCTATTATTGTAGACCATAGGGAAAACCCAGAGTAGGCGGCGTCTGACTTTGCCCTACATATTTTGGCAACTCAGTTGAAGAGCTCATGATTTTGGATGAATGCTTGGGCTGCATACACCTCAACTAGCATCCACCGGACAAAAATATTGAAAACAGGAATCTTAGAACACAAAAAATAAAAATAAAAATAAAAATAAATTTATGGAGCCATACTATACTTTTTCTGTATTAGTTAAATGAGTATTATCAAGGGAGAGAGGAGTCAGCAACCAAGGGTGCAATGAGTTCGGCATAGTCAGCATTTGAGACAAGTACATCTCTTGTAATAGCAAAGAACAAAAACTACTTCATGGTTTTACCGCCTTCAAGCTTGTATGGTAGGAGGGAGACGGATGAGGGGATTAGTGGAAGGATTTTGGGACCATAGTGGTCTGATAATTAAAAAACAACAAAACAAAACAAAAAGACAAAAACAAAAACAAAACGTAACAAAAAACAAAGAACTCCAATTTTAATCTCTCATAATTCGAGAGATTAGAGGGAATCTTATACCAAACAAAATGAGAGAAAGGTCGTCTTGTTCCACTCTATTTTCCTTACCTAGGTTATATGCCTTTCTTCTTTTACTATTTTTTTTCCTTCTTACCAAACATAGCCAAAAGGGTTTCGACTCACAAGGAACATATTTAATAGTTGACCTATTTGGCAGCCCATCAAAGCCATCACATATCTTAAACGTCATCTTTTGTGTTCGACAACTAGGCCCCAGCAACAAATTCTCACAAGGCTTTTCATTGAAGTTGCAAGAATAACTTTACAGGGAAAAGAACCATAAAAATTTGGTGAATACTCACTCATGATTGCCAGAGACTCGGGAGACAAAAATACTGCCTACTGCCTGATGGAAAAGCTCGTCATATAGATGTTCTTATGCAAACATGTGGTTGGTTTAATATTTTTGGTTTCCTCATAAAAAAATTAGGAAAAAGAAACATAAGACCTAATGCAAAAAAGTAAAAGCAGGCAACAAGGATAGTCCATTCATATATCAGAATAAACTCTGCAACCTCAGTTTCAGAAACAAGAAGCTAATGCAATTTTACGAAAGAGCAAAATAATAGTTAAACTATATGATGAATTCACTCTTGTCTATAAAAATACAAGATGAAAACAAGAATAAATAATTGGATCTATTGAAAAAGAAAATTAGACCTTACACTAGAAGAATTTCTGGCATTGACTGTACCGCCATTCTCCTTGAAAGTTGGACGAAGCTTTGGCAGTTTGCCTACATCAAACTGACAACATTGGAAATAACTTACGGGTGTTAGTAATGGAGCAGGTCGGGGACATCTTTTCAGTTCCCAGTAAGAAACCAAAGGAATTTTCACTATACAAATGTTGGAGTGAGTAATGGAAGCAGAAGTTATTTTTACCTTTCCTAAACCATCATCCTTATCAACAATTGTTGGTGGTTTTCCCCTCCCTCCAGAAACTTCAACCTGCATTATACCAGATTATGAATTAAATTTAAGATAAATGCAATGATAAATATTGATATCAGCTTACTTGTGGATAGGTTACCAACCGAAACAATTTCCCATGCAAAAGCAGGAAAAACACGCTCAGAGCTTTGACTGGCGTAGTCATCCTGCAGCGACATACACACACATGAAACTCTATCATGGTGGATTTGGTTGGTTATTTTATTCATTTATTTTTTCTATTTCTGAAGAGCTCTTAATCAATACCTGCTCCTTTCTCGATTCTGTATGGTTTTCTGCACATATTTCAGCACATGCTCCCATGCCAAATCATTGTAGACATCCCACAAACCATCTTTCAACATTCCATCAACAAAAGAATCATGTGCAAGTCAAGATCCTTTCCTGCATTTTAGCATTAATTCAGACAAATCTGAAAATCGGTCTGCATCCAAGAGAACCATCAAGAAGAAGGGAGAACTAACCTTGCTTCTGCAAGATACTTGGCACATTAGACATGCTTTCCATGCCACCAGCCACAACATCGTCATTAATTCCCAACTGAATGCTTTGTGCCTCGAGAATTGTTGCTGTATCAACCAAACAAAATGATATTACAACATTATGACTGCCGCTAAAAGAAACTTTAAGAGAAAACAGGACAAGATGATAATAGTGCACCTCATCCCTGATGCTGCAAAAACTTAGTTAATGATCATACAGATCACTCTATTAGGAATTCCTGCACCTAATGCATCTGTGTAGCAGGAGACTGACCCAAAGTAGCACTGAGTATTGCCAGAGATTTCTTGTACAAGTGAAGGGACAAAGCCAACCCGTTTTAGAGCAGCTACAATAGGAGAAAAAATATGTCAAAAACCAGAGGGAGAAATTTTTGAAAAAACAAAGAGGAAACATCAATTTTGAATCGGAGAATATTATCTACAATTACCTTCAATAGCAATTAATAACTTGGAGGCAGAATTTCCTTCCAGCTTTGG